CACAACGTTTATTTTTTTCATAAAACCTAAACATTTAACACAACCTTGTTTATCTACTACTTTAAAATACAACTCTTACTTTACCACTACCTTCCACAACTCTACCATTTCAACGAGATCACTTAATGCTATTAGCTAGAAAGAGATGTTAAATATTATCCACATATATGAATAGAAACACACAACAGCCATCTTAGTCTGACCTACGACAAACAAATTTGTTATACAAAATACAAAAAAAAACTTTTTTACACAACAGTGTGTGCAAAAAATCAAAACAAATACCAACAAACATAAATAAACCAAAAAAAAAACTCACAATAACAAAAAACAACGTCAAGCAACAAGAAATTTATTATGAAAAATAACAACAACCACTTATGCAGAGAAATATAAAAAAGACAAACAAAGCAAAAACAAAAAATGTCATGAGAGTGCATGAGAATGTGTGAGTGTTAAAAGCAACAATACAATAGCAAAAAAAAATAAAACATTTTTGTTGTGGAAGATAAAGCAAGCAAAGCAAAAACAACAAGAAAATGTACAGAGGAAAAAAAGCGGCGTCAGTGGATTTAATTTGTTGAGTGTGTAAAGAGCAAAGAAAAAAGAAGGCAATGATTGTTAAGAAGAAATTAAACAAAATTTATTATTAATTAAATAAAAATTATAAAATTTAACTCGAGAAAAGAAAGAAAAGTTTATACTAAAGTACGAAATAATAAAACAAAGAAATAATTACAACAAGTTAAAAAAAAGAAACAAAGAAAATTTTTAGTGTTTATGGTTTTGTGTTTTCTATGAAATCTCAAGTTAACAAAATGATCAACACTTTATTGGAGCATGTGCCCATTAAAATGGAAGTTACTGAAGTGGAGGAAGAGGAGGTCAATGAGAGACCAGCTAAAGACTTGAAGGCAGTAGAAATGGCTAAAGAAGATGAGGATATAAATGAGACAGATGAAGATTTGGATGATGAGGATGAAGATGATGAAGAAGACGATGAGGATGACGAAGAAGATGAGGATGAAGAAGAAGAGGAGTCTGATACCGAAACCGATGCCTTAGAAATTGAGCAAGAAGCCACCATGTTAATAAGCAGTGATGAAGAAGCTGAATTGGAAGCCCAAAGAATACGCTTCCCGGACAAAATCGAAGGCAAGAAATCCAGACGCGATTCCTTAAAAACATCACGCAGTTCTTCCAGGAATAGCCAAAATAGTAATAGCTCTTCCACTAAATCTGTTAACAAACTAAAAAACACAGATGAAAACAACAAAGAGGAAACTCAACAGAAACAAAGAATTTCACCTCGCCTCAAGCTGGCAGAGAACACTTTAGCAGCCGAAAACTTACAAAAAGAGCCACACAATAACAACAACAACAACACTAACACTATAACAGAAAAGAAAACGCAAAATAAATTACAGGAAAATAATGACAAAAACAATAAACCCCTACAGCGGAAGAAATCAGCAAAACATTGGAGCTCAATAAAGTAAATTCCAGCCAACCTGTAACACTCTCCATTCCTCCAGCCAAAAGTCGCCGTGGTAGTAATAACTCCACCTGTAGTCTAGCTTCCACTATAGGCTCTGATACTTCGGAAACAGAATCCTGTGGCAATATATACGTTTTCAATCTACAACAAAAACTCATATTCAATTGTGAGTTCTGTGATCTGAAATATGGTGATTTGGAAAACTTTGGTCGACATCTCCATGAGGCCATAAACTCTTCCATTTCGATGAAGATCCTGAAAAGGAAAATGCCCCGCGTAAATGTACGTAAAGCAATCGTAATAATGCGCCAAAAGTAAACACCACCTCTATCAAGAAAGAACCTCTACAATGTTTTGATTCAACAACTATGGCGCCAGAACCACCTGTTGCCTTGCCTCTATCCGTTTTAGCCGAACCATAGAATCGTGTGGCAATGTTTTCATGCTGAATCATCGTAAATTGTTTTTAGTCTGTGGCTATTGTGAGTGTAAATATGCGAATTTGGATTTGTTTGAGAAAACATTTGCGTCAACAGCATCGCATTTTTGAGGGTTGTCGCAATGAGTTGAATGTGGTGCCTAAAGTGGAGATAAAACAAGAAATGTTTGTTATTAGTGATGTGGTGGGTGGTCAATCAAGTCGTGCTGCCTCCTCAGGCTATGGTTCCATACCAGCAGAAATTCCTTTAGATATTAGCATATCTCCAGAAAATGAGGCTGCCACTTAGCTGCTTTAGATGAAACTTTGGATATGGAAGATATTAACCCGGAACAGCCTACTACTTCAACTTAACTTCTAGCAGTTCTTTTGGCTGCTAAAATAGGTGCTGATTCGATGGAGGCAATTATTACAAATGATAATTTCAATTCTAATGAAATGACACGGATATCCAACAACTGTTGCTCCTAAGAAACCAGAAATAAAAGACGCACTTCACCTTAAAACCTTAGTTTCACCTAATAAAAGACCGAAAAGAAATACCAGGAATACTGCCAAAGTTCAGGAGGAGGTATGTCAAAAACGATATCTGTATAAATTTAGTTCTAGTTCAGTTCTATTTCAGTCCTAGTTCAGTTCTAGTTTAGTTTCTAGTTCAGTTCTAGTTCAGTTCTAGATCAGTTCTAGTTCAGTTCTGGATCTGTTCTAGATCAGTTTCTAGATCAGTTCTAGTTCAGTTCTAGTTCAGTCTAGTTCAGATTCTAGTTCAGATCTAGTTCAGATCTAGTTCAGTTCTAGTTCAGTTTCTAGTTCAGTTCTAGTTCAGTTCTAGTTCAGTTCTAGTTCAGTTCTAGTTCAGTTTTAGTTAGTTCTTGTTCAGTTCTAGTTCAGTTCTAGTTCTAGTTCAGTTCTAGTTCAGTTCTAGTTCAGTTCTAGTTCAGTTCTAGTTCAGTTCTAGTTCAGTTCTAGTTCAGTTCTAGTTCAGTTCTAGTTCAGTTCTAGTTCAGTTCTAGTTCAGTTCTAGTTCAGTTCTAGTTCAGTTCTAGTTCAGTTCTAGTTCAGTTCTAGTTCAGTTCTAGTTCAGTTCTAGTTCAGTTCTAGTTCAGTTCTAGTTCAGTTCTAGTTCAGTTCTAGTTCAGTTCTAGTTCAGTTCTAGTTCAGTTCTAGTTCAGTTCTAGTTCAGTTCTAGTTCAGTTCTAGTTCAGTTCTAGTTCAGTTCTAGTTCAGTTCTAGTTCAGTTCTAGTTCAGTTCTAGTTCAGTTCTAGTTCAGTTCTAGTTCAGTTCTAGTTCAGTTCTAGTTCAGTTCTAGTTCAGTTCTAGTTCAGTTCTAGTTCAGTTCTAGTTCAGTTCTAGTTCAGTTCTAGTTCAGTTCTAGTTCAGTTCTAGTTCAGTTCTAGTTCAGTTCTAGTTCAGTTCTAGTTCAGTTCTAGTTCAGTTCTAGTTCAGTTCTAGTTCAGTTCTAGTTCAGTTCTAGTTCAGTTCTAGTTCAGTTCTAGTTCAGTTCTAGTTCAGTTCTAGTTCAGTTCTAGTTCAGTTCTAGTTCAGTTCTAGTTCAGTTCTAGTTCAGTTCTAGTTCAGTTCTAGTTCAGTTCTAGTTCAGTTCTAGTTCAGTTCTAGTTCAGTTCTAGTTCAGTTCTAGTTCAGTTCTAGTTCAGTTCTAGTTCAGTTCTAGTTCAGTTCTAGTTCAGTTCTAGTTCAGTTCTAGTTCAGTTCTAGTTTTCTAGTTCAGTTCTAGTTCAGTTCTAGTTCAGTTCTAGTTCAGTTCTAGTTCAGTTCTAGTTCAGTTCTAGTTCTAGTTCAGTTCTAGTTCAGTTCTAGTTCAGTTCTAGTTCAGTTCTAGTTCAGTTCTAGGTTCAGTTCTAGTTCAGTTCTAGTTCAGTTCTAGTTCAGTTCGAGTTCAGTTCTAGTTCAGTTCTAGTTCAGTTCTAGTTCAGTTTAGTTCAGTTCTAGTCAGTTCTAGTTCAGTTTTTTAGTTCAGTTCTCGTTGAGTTCAGTTTTAGTTCAGTTCTAGTTCAGTTCTAGTTCAGTTCAGTTCAGTTCTATTCAGTGTCCTTCAGTTCTAGTTCAGTTTCTAGTTCAGTTTCTAGTTCAGTTCTAGTTCTGTTCTAGTTCAGTTCTAGTTCAGTTCTAGCTCATTATTTCTATTAATTTGAATTTATCTGTTCTAACTTGCGCCGTATAACCTATTGTTTTCACCTTCATTTTAGCCCAACCCTACAGTTGTAAATATCTCGGAAAGACTCGTTCCTGCAGGAACAACTCAAGTTATGGAAACTGTAAATATCATTGAAGCTGTAAAAACTATAGATAATGAAGACAACAACTCAGCCGCAGCAATCAAGAAATTACAGTATCTAGGGAATCCGAAAACATAATAAAAATGCCTGAAATTAATGAAACAATTCCGCCAAAAACTACAGAAACTAAAGTAAGCAAGAAACGCACAAAATCCACAGAATCAAAAAGAACAGCATCTCCAGAAGCAATAGAAATTAAGAAATCTACAAAATCAACGGAATCTAATAAGGAAACTGCGACAGAAACTGAAGGAACTCAAGGAACCTACAAAATCTACTGAATTGAGGAAAACACCTTCTATAGAAACTACAGAGGTCAAGAAACTTACTAAGACAATAGAAATTAAGAAATCCACATCTCCAGAAACAATAGAACCAAGAAAACTGCAAAAACCGCACAAAATAAAGCTGCAACTGTTGTGGATACGACAAAACATAAGGAAAATAAGAAAGCGACAAAAGCTGCAGAAGCCAAGAAACCAGCAGAATCGGTAGAACCAGCTGAAAGTAAAGAAAACCACAAAAACAAATGAAGCAATAGCTGTGGTTAATGAGGTATCTACAGAGTGCTCTCTATTGACAAAGTCTAACGAAACAAAGCGACCAACAACTCCTGCAGAAACTGCAGGAAATAAAAAGGCAAGAAAAACAATTAAGGCACAAGAAACCAAGAAACCAGTAATACAAGGAAATGCAAGAAACAGTAGAAACGAAAGAATCAAGGAAACTTGCGAAAACAGAAGCTACAGCAAAGGTAGAAGTCAAAACAACGACAAAATTGCAAGAATCTAATGAGGAAGCAACTGCTGTAGAGTGCACAGCAACCAAAGCCAGAAGAAAATCAACAAGAGCGGTGGATTTAAATAAACCAGCAACACCAGAACCAGTAGAAGTTGTTGAAAACCAAAACCTACAAAATCAGAAGCAGCAACAACGCAAGAAACAAAAAGAGCTAGGAAAGCAATAAAAGTTGTAGAAGCTGAAGAGGAACCTGTACAAGAACCTGCAGTAGAAACTGTAGAAACAAAGAAACCTACAAACTCAGAACCGGCAACAACGCAAGAAACAAAAGAGCTAGAAAATCAATAAAGTAGTAGAACCTATAGAGGAACCTATAACAACACAGGAACCGGCAGCAACTAAAGAAACCAGCAGAAAGTCTAGCAAACCGGCAGAAATTAAAAAACTTACCAAACAGGAAGTAACTGAAACCGAACTAGAGCCGGAAACTAGTGATAATGAAATGCAATGTGATGAATGCGATAAGAAATTTACACGAAGAGAAAGTTTAAAAATCCACAAGAGAGTACACACCGGCGAAAAACCCTTCCAGTGTGATATTTGTCAAAAAAGTTTCCGAGCCAAACAAAACCTGACCATGCACAAAAAGTTTCACATGGGAGAGGCTTCGAAAAACTTTGAATGTGAACATTGCGATAAAAAGTTTCTACGTAATACCGATCTTAAGGTGCATATGAGAACGCATACGGGTGAAAAGAAATTCAAATGTGGCATTTGTCTACAGGGTTATGCTTCCAAACTTAATGTCCAAACACACATTGAAAGAGACCATTTGCCAGAGGATGGTGTGGTGGGTAAACCGCCTAGAGGTAAAAAGAAATCAGGACCCAATTCTAAGGTTTTAAGAGAAGAATTGGAATATCAAAAGAAAATAATACACGAACTGCAACAGGCTAAGATAGAGAAGGATATTAATAAAACTACTTTGGGTACAGCTCCAGCAGCAACAGCTCTTAGTGTAGAAAAGCAATTGCAGGCAGAAACCCTTCATTATCAGCAGCAGCAGCAGGATACCGAAATGCAAGATCTTAATGCTGATCCTGTCAATGATATTATAGAACAAATACAAAATGAAATACTTTTAGGCGAACAGCAAAGACAACCGGAAAATACACAAGTCAATGCCGTAACCTATATCATTAATACGATGTCTGAACCCAATGAAGTATTAAATCTAACAAATGATACAACTAACAAGACAACCCTTATACTAGAGCCACAGCCCAATGAATTATTAAATTCTCCTGAAGATATTAAACCCACTTTAATGCAGGTAGTTAAACGTTATTGCTGTGAACAGTGTAATCGCTCCTTTAAGAAACACATACGTCTGGTGGAACATCAACGCGTGCATACGGGTGAAAAACCTTTTGAATGTGATGAATGTGGCAAACAGTTTCGCATACGCATGCGTTTAAGTGAACACAAACTACGACATTCCAAGGAAAAGAAATTCAAATGTGAAGTCTGTAATCTGGGCTGTTGTACTAAACAGGATTTAAATCTACACATGCGTCATCATACCAATGACAGACGTTTCCAATGTTCCATGTGCCCCAAGGCATTTGTACGTAGTTCAGATTTGAAAATACACGTACGCGTTCACACCGGTGAGAAGCCCTTCGTTTGTGATATTTGTCACAAATGTTTCCGAGCCAATCAGAATCTAAGTGTTCACAAAAAATCTCATATGGGTGATGCTTCCAAAACCTATCAATGTGAACATTGTGATAAGAAATTTATGCGTAATATTGATCGTAAAGTTCACATGAGAACTCATACTGGAGAAAAGCCTTATAAATGTGAGATATGTCAACGTGGTTACTCTTCTAGATATAATGTACGCGCTCATATAGAAAGAGATCATATATCGCCTCATGGCGTTGGATCGCCACCTAAAAGTAAAAAGCGTCCTGGACCTAAACCTAAAGGTTTAAAGGCTGAATTGGAAAAACAAAAGAAACTTATAGAGGAACTACAAAATCAACTATTACAACAAATTAAAACTGATGAAAAAATCATTAACTGTGAAGAGGAAATCTTACCCCATGATACTCTACAAGATAGCACCATAACGGCTTCCACACCTTTAATCAGCAGCTCCAACATAAGCCATGATCCCATACAAAGTGCTTATGATTTACTAAATAAACTCAAATCGGCCTCAACTACCTCTAAACCTTTAACTATAATACCCTCTCCACCACCTCTAAAGGACATTGGCTCTAATCCCTTTACCAAAGCCAAAAAGGCCGCCACTTCCACATTACTACCTCTTACTATAACACAAAAAATTGAACAACATTCACCGGCTCCTTCAACGGCCTCCTCTAACACGTCACTATCATGTCTCAGTACACCCTCACCACCCAAGACCACAGCCACTAAAGTAGTGTCACAAAAAACCTCTTTAGGTATACAACAAGTATCGGTGACAGTGTCTATGCAAGTGGAAAATGTAACAACAGCCACTACTCCTACTACTCCCGAAAAAGAGAATGCTGGCATTTTGACAACAAGCACAACAAGCGGTGGTATACAAACAACGACATCATCGGCGTCTAGTGTTAAGAAAGAAAGGAAAATAACAAGTTATTTTACGGTGGTGGGTCAAAAGGCAGATGTTTAGGAGTTCAAAAACACACACACTCAAGAAGGCAAGTTTATGGTGAACTAACAGGAGTTTTATAAGGTAAACTGAATAGATTTTCTTTGCAAATAACTTAAGAGTTAAAAGACAATAAAATAAGATTTTGTTTAAAATGTACTTTTTTATAATTATTTACATATTAATTTAAATACTTTTTTTTTATAAATTAGGACTATAGTCTAATCTATTGTCATGTCTATAGGCTAGTTATAGTATAGTATATAGTCTATAGTCTAGTCTAAAGTCTAGTCTTTGGGCTAGTTTATAGTCTCTAGTCTTTGGGCTAGTCTATAGTCTAGTGGTATAGTCTAGTCTATAGTCTAGTCTATAGTCTAGTGTATAGCTAGTCTATAGTAGATATAGTCTAGTCTATAGTCTAGTCTATAGTCTAGTCTATAGTCTAGTCTATAGTCTAGTCTATAGTCTAGTCTATAGTCTAGTCTATAGTCTAGTCTATAGTCTAGTCTATAGTCTAGTCTATAGTCTAGTCTATAGTCTAGTCTATAGTCTAGTCTATAGTCTAGTCTATAGTCTAGTCTATAGTCTAGTCTATAGTCTAGTCTATAGTCTAGTCTATAGTCTAGTCTATAGTCTAAGTCTATAGTCTAGTCTATAGTCTAGTCTATAGTCTAGTCTATAGTCTAGTCTATAGTCTAGTCTATAGTCTAGTCTAGAGTCTAGTCTAGTCTAGTCTATAGTCTAGTCTATAGTCTAGTCTATAGTCTAGTCTATAGTCCTAGTCTATAGTCTAGTCTATAGTCTAGTCTACTAGTAGTCTAGGTCTATAGTCTAGTCTATAGTCTAGTCTATAGTCTAGTCTATAGTCTAGTCTATAGTCTAGTCTATAGTCTAGTCTATAGTCTAGTCTATAGTCTAGTCTATAGTCTAGTCTATAGTCTAGTCTATAGTCTAGTCTATAGTCTAGTCTATAGTCTAGTCTATAGTCTAGTCTATAGTCTAGTCTATAGTCTAGTCTATAGTCTAGTATAGTCTAGTCTATAGTCTAGTCTATAGTCTAGTCTATAGTCAGTCTATAGTCTAGTCTATAGGTCTTAGGTCTATAGTCTAGTCTATAGTCTAGTCTATAGTCTAGTCTATAGTCTAGTCTATAGTCTAGTCTATAGTCTAGTCATAGTCTAGTCTATAGTCTAGTCTAGTCTAGTCTATAGTCTAGTCTATAGTCTAGTCTATAGTCTAGTCTATAGTCTAGATAGTCTATAGTCTAGTCTATAGTCTAGTCTATAGTCTAGTCTATAGTCTAGTCTATAGTCTAGTCTATAGTCTAGTCTATAGTCTAGTCTATAGTTAGTCTAGTCTAGTCTATAGTCTAGTATATAGTCTAGTCTATAGTCTAGTGTATAGTATAGTCTATAGTTAAGTCTATAGTCTAGTCTATAGTCTAGTCTATAGTCTAGTCTATAGTCTAGTATATAATCTAGTCTATAGTCTAGTCTATAGTCTAGTCTATAGTCTAGTCTATAGTCTAGTCTATAGTCTAGTCTATAGTCTAGTCTATAGTCTAGTCTATAGTCTAGTCTATAGTCTAGTCTATAGTCTAGTCTATAGTCTAGTCTATAGTCTAGTCTATAGTCTAGTCTATAGTCTAGTCTATAGTCTAGTCTATAGTCTAGTCTATAGTCTAGTCTAGTCTATAGTCTAGACTATAGTCTAATCTATAGTCTAATCTATAGTCTATAGCCTTGTATTTCTATTATTCTATAGTCTAGTCTAAACTCTTGTTTATAGACTATATGTTAGATAATGAGTAGACTATAGAATAGACTGTAAACTAGATTAGTCTATATACTAACCTATATACCAAAGTCTTGACTATAGTCTACTTTCTAGTCTATAGTCTAGTCTATAGTCTAGTCTATAGTCTAGTCTATAGTCTAGTCTATAGTCTAGTCTATAGTCTAGTCTATAGTCTAGTCTATAGTCTAGTCTATAGTCTAGTCTATAGTCTAGTCTATAGTCTAGTCTATAGTCTAGTCTATAGTCTAGTCTATAGTCTAGTCTATAGTCTAGTCTATAGTCTAGTCTATAGTCTAGTCTATAGTCTAGTCTAGTCTATAGTCTAGTATATAGTCTAGTCTATAGTCTAGTGTATAGTATAGTCTATAGTTAAGTCTATAGTCTAGTCTATAGTCTAGTCTATAGTCTAGTCTATAGTCTAGTATATATCTAGTCTATAGTCTAGTCTATAGTCTAGTCTATAGTCTAGTCTATAGTCTAGTCTATAGTCTAGTCTATAGTCTAGTCTATAGTCTAGTCTATAGTCTAGTCTAGTCTAGTCTAGTCTAGTCTATAGTCTAGTCTATAGTCTAGTCTATAGTCTAGTCTATAGTCTAGTCTAGTCTATAGTCTAGACTATAGTCTAATCTATAGTCTAATCTATAGTCTATAGCCTTGTATTTCTATTATTCTATAGTCTAGTCTAAACTCTTGTTTATAGACTATATGTTAGATAATGAGTAGACTATAGAATAGACTGTAAACTAGATTAGTCTATATACTAACCTATATACCAAAGTCTTGACTATAGTCTACTTTATAGTCTACAATACAGTCTAGTCTATAGACGATCTATAATCCAGTCTATAGTTAAGTCTATAATCTGATCAATAGTATAGTCTATAATCTGGTTTATAGTACAATCAAAAGTCTACTCTACTTTAGCCTGGTATATAATCCAGTCTGTTGTCTAATCTATAGCTTAATCTAGAGTCTGGTCTATAGTCTTGTCTATAGTTTAGTCTATACTCTAGTCTATAGTTTAGTCTAGAGCCTAGTCTATATTCTAGTCTATAGTTTTATCTGTAGTCTAGTCTGTAGACTAGTCTATAGCCCAATCTAGAGTCTAGTCTAGATTATAACCTAATGTCCAGTCTATGGTCTAGTTTATAGCCTAGTCTATAGTTAGGTCAAGTCTATAGTCTATACTATAGTACTATAGTCTAGTCTATAGTTTAGTCTATAGTCTAGTCTATAGTCTATTCTGTAGTCTAGTCCATAGTCTAGTCTATAGTCTAGTCTATAGTCTAGTCTATAGTCTAGTCTATAGTCTTGTCTATATTCTAGTCTATAGTAAATTATATAGTCTAGTCTATAGTGAATTCTATAGGCTCTTCTTAATTCCAGGCTAAAGTCTAGTTATTCGTCTTGTCTATAGTCTAGACTATTGTCTTGTATATAGTCTAGTCTATAGCCTAGTCTATAGCCTAGTCTATAGCCTGTACTATAGTTTGGACTTCAGTCTACCCAATAGTCTATGGGGTTTCCAGCAACAGTTCAATATTGTCTTACCCTTTGTCTTATGTTATAAAACTCCAGTTTTTTTTACCATTTACTAACATTCTTTTGAAACAAAATTTGTTTTTTTTTAATAAAATGAATTAATTTTTTTTTAACATTTATAAATTTTGTAAACATTTTCATTATTAATTATAAGTACGCAACATTCTCATTATACTTTGTGTAATAATATACTATTAAAAGTGTATTTTTCTACTATCTCTCTCTCTCGCTCTCCTCTTAATTAAATTACCTTAAAGATACTTTTAAAAAGCATCTTTGTTTTAAGAAATTATACTAAATATATTATAATTATTACTATAACTACTATTATAACAGAAACTTGTACTTTATTTTAAATGCTTTAGTACTATAGCAAAGCAACCTCGCAGCAGGATTTATAACTCTTTTTGCTTTTCGCCCTAACACACATACATATTTATTTTCATATATTATTTGGATTTTTCTTGAATTTTATTTTTTTATAAATATTAGTTGATAAGTTATTTTTAGTTGTAAGACAAGATGAAGAAATAAAAGTGAAGTTGATGAAAATGTTGGTTTAATAAAGAAAATGGAAAAGTTACAAGTTAAAGTTTAAAAGGCATTGGATGAAAAAAATTTATTTTCCAAAACGGCAGCTTTATATAAATCAAACATTGGAACAAATTTTCAAGTTATGAATTGATATTAAAACTAAAATTTAAAAAAATTTTATAAAAAAAAGCCAAGAAATTTATACAAAAATACAATAATTGTTAAACTATAAAAACAAAAATGAATAAATTTTTTTTATAAAAAAACTATATTTTTATATAAACTACTTTTTAAACACAAATTGAAAAAAAAATATTTTTTTAAATATTTATAAAAAAGACCCATAAGACTTAAGAAAAAAAACACAAAAATACATTTAAAGAAAGAGAAAATCTTAAAAAAAAACTTAAAAAACCTAAAGAAAATCAAATTTTTTTCTAAACTAAGCAATGAAATTCATTTTTCTAATCTCAAAAAAAAAAAAATTTACTTTTCTAACCTCAAAAAAAAAAAATCAAAGAAACATTCATTATTTATACTCATTATCCTTTGAAAATTATATTAATTTTATTTATTAATAAAATTATCATAAATTTCTTTTTAAAATAATAAATTTCATATTTTTTCTTATAAATCTAAAAAGTAATTTAATTTATTTTATTATAATTTTTTTTTAATTATTAATATTAATTTTCTTATAAATACTTGTTACATATAAAGACATTTTTTTCTAATTATATGAGTTACTTAAACGAACAACAACTCTTTATACTTTTCAACAAAACTTCCACTTAAAAATGAAACAAATCATTAGCGTATACAACAACAATGAAACTATAAAATTTAATTTTTTTTTGATATAAATATACACAATTACATTTATAAGTTTTTCTATACATATATGAAATATATATATTTTTTATATTTAAAAATAACTATAATAAAGTGTTTTATTAAAGAAGGGAATTTATAGCAAAAGTTTAGAAGGGTTATGTACCAAGGGACTATATTGGAGACTATTTAAGAGAGATCTACAAGTTTTAATCGCACAATGAACCGTTAAAGCCTCCATTAGAGTCCTTAGAGTAGTCTAGTCTATACTATAGTCTATAATCTAGTCTATAGTCTAGTCTATAGTCCAGTTTATAGTATAGTCTATAGTCTAGTCTATAGTCTAGACTATTTTATAGTCTATACTCTAGTCTATAGTCTAGACTATGGTCTAGTCTATAGTCTAGACTATGGTCTAGTCTATAGTCAAGACTATGGTCTAGTCTATAGTCTAGACTATGGTCTAGTCTATAGTCTAGACTATGGTCTAGTTTATAGTC